AGCTAAAGAACGATTATGCAGATCAATGAAATCCACTTTAGGATTTCAATTACTCAGTTTGGTTCTTAACCCCACTCTTATTTTGTGCAATGTCTTCTAGCTGTCTCTACAGCTAAAGAATAACATTGAGGCTTTTAACTGAAAAGGTTCCATGAATGACGGCATAATATAGTCTCCAGAAAAGGGGGGGGAGCCTATCTTGATGAACACTAATCCAAAAGACTGCAACTCAAAGTATATTAGTCAAATCTAAGAAATACCAAGCAATTGTGGGTATTTTGCTTGGAAGAGAGGAGGTGTTGAGCTTTTCAAAATTATAAAAAGGATCAATAAAGTCAATAGAAATAGATTCTTTTGACATTGGTAAGTGACTCACAAATGCAAAAACCATCTGAGATTAGGACAACTTACATGGAGATTTTTATAGACTTTAATATGAAAGGTAATAAATTTAGAGAAGAACTTACTGCTGAGATTTTTCAAGTAAAATATTGTAGATGGCTTCAGTCACACCTAACCTCATTTTTGGATGAGTGAATTCTAATGGCGAATGACGGTGTTTTAAAAACTTGTTCTCTTTTACAAGTATTCTGGACAAGTATTTATTCTCAATCATTTTTACTATTTATTTCTTTTGTGGAAAGAAAGAAAAGAGCATGGAATTCCATTCATTTAACTATATTAAGCACCTACTATGCACGAGGTACTAGACAGTGAGAATAAAAAAGACCAAAAAAATCTTTTTCTTATCCTCAAGGGGCTTATATTCTACTGGAAAAAAGGAGTGATGCAGGAGACAACATGCACACAAACAAGTAAATACAGAACATATACAAAGTAGATCTGAAATGGGGCAGCTAGGTGTTGCAGTGGGGAGAAGGTGGGGACTGGAGTCCGGAAGACTCATCTTTCTGAGTTCAAATCTAGCCTCAGACATTTACCAGCTGTGTGACCCTGGGCAAGTAACTTAATCCTATTTGCCTCAGTTTCCTTGTCTGTAAAATGAGCTGGAGAAGGAAATGGCAAACCACTCCAATATCTTTGCCAAGAAAACCCCAAATGGGGTCATGAAAAGTTGGAAACAGCTGAAAATGACTGAACAGCAAGATGCAAAATACCTGGGAGTGATCGGGCAATAGTAACTGGGAGGGAGGGTTAGGTCTGGTTTTGGGTAGGAGGTAGCATCTGAGATACAAAAAAGCCAGAGTAATGAGCAAATATAAGGTAACTATTGAAAATTCTCTTTCAAGGGACTTACTAATCAGATAAGAATGTTAGTTATTTTTAAAATAGCTACAATTTCAGTCTCCTTGGCCAAATAAAATAATATATAAATTTGTTGAGTAGTGTGCAAAAGTCTCCATACATTAAGATTTCATGGTTGCATTCTAGCCCTTTCCTTCGCCCCTTCTATGCTCCACCCTTTATTTCCAACCTGCACTTGAGCCCTGAATGAGGAGAGTTCACCATAGCTCACCTAACCTTGAACCTGCCAGGCTTCACTCCAGCCATCTTCCTGCTATGGACAGATAAGCCCATTCTTCTTCTCCTTCCCCCACCTCTTTCCAACACTCTCTGGAAATAGTAATCAGATCATCACTGCCATTCATGGTAAGGGCAGGTCAATCCATGGTCCTGGGATTCCACTCATAATCCATATGACTTTCCAGACCAAAGCATTCCTCATTGGACACCACCCTCCTCTATGCATTGTCTTCTTTTAGAATCTAGACTTCTTGAGAGCAGAGACTGTCTCACTTTTTGTATTTCTCTCTCCAATGCATAGAACAGTGGTGGGCGCACAGAAGTGCTTAATAAATGATTGTTCATTTATTCATTCTTTCATATTTTAACTTTGCATCTTACCATCTACTAGTCATCTCAATAAGAGATGGAGATTAAGATTATTACTTTCAATGGAAAGGCATTTGCAAAATTTTATTTAATATGCAGATATATTCATTTTCACTTATTTTGACTTAAAAATCTTAGATGCTTTCATTATCAGATTTCAAGCTGGAACATCAAGTTATTTCAAGGAAAATGTAAAACTTTGGAAAATCAAGGCTTTGCCATAGAAGTCTATTTGGAAATAGAGTGTAATATGTCTTGAGTTGCTGAGAGAGAGAGAGAGAGAGAGAGAGAGAGAGAGAGAGAGAGAGAGAGATTTTTAAAACATATTTCTTCCTTCTTTTTTCTAATTTTCTGATTAAAGGAGTATGTGTTATCTTGTTTCTTGTTTCTAGTCCAGTATATCTATGTATCTATCTATCTATCTATCTATCTATCTCTCTATCTATCATGTATCTATCCAGCTATCCTTCTATAATTTATCATCTGTCAGTTATCTTTCTAGCCACCTCTCTAACATCTACCAATCTATCATCTACCTATCCATCTATCTTCACACACATTTACAGGTGTATATATGTAGGCGTTAATGGATGTTAAAAACACCCTACAGGACAAATATCTGTTCTTGGTCACTATTTGTTCTCCCTGAATCTTCTTAAGCTTTATACTTGAATGTTGCCTTTGGCAATCATACTGTTTTTGTTTGTTTGTTTGTTTGTTTGGGGGTTTTTTTGTGGTTGTTGGTTTTGCTTTCCTGTTGTTCTTGTTGTTTTACTTTGTTTTCCCTCTTTGGATCTCTTTCTGTCACAATATGCATGAGAATAGTGATGGAGACGCTTTGGGTTTGTGGAACAGATAGAAGGATATCCAGCCAAACTTCACTGGAAGCATCTTCGTTTTTGTTTTTCTGTCAGCTAAGTCTTTACCAATAACGGCCGGGTGCCTTTTGTAGCATGCTTATATAACTGAGTTTAGGATACAATAGTGAAAAACCAGCGGAACTCAAGATAAGGTAGCCAGAAAAGGAGCCCAGAATGAACTAGGAATGAGACAAACATAGCAGCAGAGGGGTTGGCAAAAAAGCAGAACAAAATAAAATAAAATAAACTAGGGCCTTGGACAAGACCTGGTAAGGCTCTGAACATTTTAGCAAATAGTAACTAAAGTGGGACATAAGGAAGGGAGATTAAGGGACATAAGAGAAAAGCAGGGGAGGAGTGATGCATCTTATGGGCCTCTTTGTGGCTCTTCCCATTAATTCTGCTTTGGCCGAGCCAGTGTATGTAACTCAGGTATCCTTTTCTCAGATAAAGATGCTATTTCTCTTTATCAATCTATCCCTTCCTTCCATTCTATTCATATTTTTGTAATCCCATTTTCTCTATTCACCCCACAAATACTCTAGTCTAGGCCCTCATCACCTAGACTTTGTATAACTTCCCTATAGGTTACCTGGCATTCATCCTCCACGTAGCTGTCAAACTGATAGTCTTTTTTTTATATATAACACTAAGACAGATTTTATTTAAAACACATTACTCATAAATATAAGTTGGTTAGTGTGTGAAGGGACACCTATGTTCCTCCTGATTACACATATTTATCTAACTTACTAGTTAAATACTTGAAAACAACTATAATGTGTTCTAAAACCTTTTATTTCCCAATTATACAAATTCAATTCCTATAATCAGGAACATTAGTATAGTCATGTTTAGTTTATAAACTTCTTAATCTACCTCTTAAAAAGTGAGTTTTGAAAAGATTTTTTTAAAAAGGATGGAAAATACTTCAAACTAATTTTTCGCCTTAGAGGTGAGTCTTTGATGGATACATCTGTTTCATGAGAAAATTTATCTTGTTCTTTCCCCTACCCTGCCCCGCTCTTCCATCTTCATAGTACTATATAGTAGCTGTTGGAAATGGTATGTAGTATGTAGCATAACGTTACTGTCTATCTTTAAATTTTTCAGACATTAAAATAAATACATAAATATGTACACGTACATACATTATGTACTTGGATGTTACGATTTTCATTGCTTACTGGCTTGTATTTATTTACAATTTTCAAGATTAGACAAGCAACTCTACTACAAGCCTACTTAGAATACAATCTATTACTAACATCTTATTATTATCTGTTGCATAATCAAAGCAAAAAAAAACATTTCCCAGAGTTTTTCTGCTAATAATTTTCTAAGTTTCAGTTCTGCTGACCTTGGTCTTGGCTGCTAAGACTAATATCTTTTCCTATGAAGTCTGGTGATGCTAGGCTAGTATGCATTTTCCAGGATTGTGTGAAAGCTAAACACTTTTTTAATGCATGTTATAAATAGCATCAATCATATGTATGTTGAAAAACTAGCCCAGTTATCTTACAGTTGAACAGATAAATCTCTTTATGACAAAAAGATACATTCTTTTCTAGATTAGAGCAGATAATAAGAGTAGGCTTTAACATTTATCTAATCAAATCACAACAATATTTTATAAGAAGAGTTCTATTTTCAGGTTCTCTTTGGTGGCTCTTATATACCTTTGTGGCTGTTATATACTTATTATATACTTTTGTCTTTTTTGAAAAAAAGACTTTATTCATCACTTATAATGGTTTCATATTAATTTACTGAATTCCAGTTAATGGAAATGTTAGGGTTTCATTGTGAAGGGAAAAATATACACAGCATTATGCCCAAGAACTATCTTTCCCCCCAGATGGTACAAATATACCTTATTTGGAATATATAACCTGAACTTGTTAAAGTTTGATTTTCTATATAAGAAAAAAATTTCTAAGCCAAATCATGCTTACCAGAATCATGATTTGGAACCAATATATCAAAGTAAAAATTCAAATGCAATCTTATTAATCTTACTTTTCAGTTAAAAATATGATTCTTTTTCAAGGTAGACTATTAGTCAAATAAAACTCTTCTATAAAACACAAAATAATAAACATCTGTATCAGACTAACCCATTTATTTGGTACATCTTTAAGTTAAGAAAAGGCAAAGAGATGCAACTACACAAAGAAAAATGAATCACATTCTTACACTACTTGAACACACAAAGCAGTGGCCAACCATAATAAAATGTGGAACGGACCCCAGTGTTTAATGAAAAAAAAAAAATCATTCAGTATTGAGAAACATTTTAAGCCTCTAACTTCACTGAATCCAGAACTGAACATGCTTCTTTATATTCTTCAGTTTCTTCCAAGTCTTTTTCATTTTCCAACAGCTGTAAAAGATCAGAACTTGCAGCTTCCAATCTGTGTTGGCAATCTGGAATCATCATTCGAGATGCTTGCAAAATTTCTGTCTGCTTCTTCATGGCATAGGTTTCACCATCTTCAGCTTTCGTTTTTTCAATTTTTTCTTCTCGTTGTTTTGCTTCTTTTTCATACATCAGTTTTTCTTTGACCAACTGTTTCACCACGCCCGTTTTGATCTTGATCTGCCTCATGGGAGGACCAGCCATGGTCCCCCACTGAACGCTCGCCGCTGGCGGAAGGAAAGAGAAAAGTCGGAACTCTCTGAGGGGAGACCGAGCACGCTCCAAGCTGATTTTTTTCTTTTCTTTTCTTTTTTCTTTTCTTTTTTCTTTTCTTTTCTTTTCTTTTTTCTTTTCTTTTCTTTTTGGTGAGGCAATGGGGTTAAGTGACTTGCCTAGGATCACACAACTACTAAATGTCAAGTGTCTGCAAACCGACATCCTTAAAGCACAGATTGGACCATGTTACTCCTACTCAGATTGCCTCTAAGGTAAAATACAAATCCCTCATTTTGCCTTTCAAAGCCCTTCATGATGTAGTCCCAGACTACCTTTTCGGGCTTATTCCTCATACACTGTACATTCTATCCAAACTGACCTGACTGCTGTTTGTCACGTCTGACTTTTCATCTGTCATCTCTATGTCTTTGTACAAGCTGTCCCCCAGTACCTTAAATAAACTTCATCTTCACTTCTTCCTTATACTTTCTCAGTTTCCTTCAAAGTTGAGGTTAAGTGCCAATTTGTCATATCCAGCCCCCCCCCCACCCCACTCCAGTTACTGTTGCCCACCCTTGAGAAATTACTTTGTATATTTTTATACTTGATTTTTTTAGGCACATGTTATCTCCCCAAAATAGAACATAAGCTCTCTGATGACAGGGACTGCCCCACGTCGGTCTTTGTATCTCCAGTGCTTAGCACGGTACGGGGCACATGACAGGTGTTTAATATGTGCTTGTAAAATTTCAGGAATTTTTGATTCTCTCTTCATAGTCTACAGATGGTAAGTTTTTAAATAGCATATTATGAATCTGAAAGTTAACATGCAACATAATTGCTCATTCCATAGAGCAGCTCATTTCCTTCCATCTTAAACCCGTACCAGCCTTTGGCTCAGCCTTCTCTTTGCCTCAGTCTTAGATCTGGTCCTATTAGCTATCATAATTTATTCTACTACACCACATAGAAAACCCATGGCAAAACCAGCAGACTGCAGATAAAAGTACACATGTCACTCTTTCAGGTCACTAAGGGGATGATTCACAGATGGGGACCTGTTGTATGACCTCAAAATAAAAGAAAGGATTTGGGGGATTGGAGAAGAAGAAAGGTTTTGCTTGATTAAAGCAAACTCAAAGGCAACAGGGATTTTCTAATTCCCCAAAATGATTTAGATTAATGGGTCAGGGAGACCACAAGGAAGGTAAAGAATATTTGTGGGCACACATTTCCCAGAATCCTTTGGTTTCCACTTCCTTCTGCCCTTGAAGAGATTTCCCACCGTGAGTTTTGCAATAGAGTTACCAAAAAAAAAAAAAAAAAAAAGATGCTCATCTAGATTGCATCTTGGGTTTTCCTCCAAAGCGGCGAAAGCAAGAGTGGGAATGTAGATATATTTTGGTTCTGTAACCATAGCTGAATAGGGCAAAATAAAACAGGGATTGGGAATGATTCCAAAAAAATGGGTCAACCTGGACTGACCTAGAGCAGAGAGAGAGAGAGAGCGAGAGAGAGAGAGAGAGAGAAATGGAGTAGAAGCAGAGCTGACCAGAGCGGCTTGAAGACCAATGAGATGAATTGTGCCCAGAATCTCAGCCATGCTCTTACCGATGGGAAGTGTGCCAGCCTCCAGCCGTGCTCCCTTCCATTCCCTCAGAGCAAGCGCTCACTCAGGCAAGCCTTGGCAAGGTCCCCAAAACTTCTCCTTGTTTTCTCAGAGCGACTGCCAAGGAAATCTCACAGCAAGTTCCAAAGTTTGCCGAGTCTCTTTTTCACTCTTTCCCTTTTGACTGGTTGGGTGGGGTGAGAGAGAGAGAAATCAGTTCTGCTGCAGCAGCAAACATGGTAGCTTATTATTTAGAAGTCTTTTGGATAGTTTGAGGGATTGTTTTGCTGTGCTCCAACTTAAAATTATTTGGTGCGGTTTCAATAAAGCACCTGACCATTATGAAAAAAACAATGCATTTGTTTAATCCTATGAATGAAGGACTTTGAATGTGGAGGGAAGTTTCCAAACGTGGGAACTAGGGACTCAGAGCGGGGTTAACAAAGATCGCTTATTTCGGTAAATTTCTGGAGACTGTTTTCCATCATGCCACCAGATTCATCTGAAACCTGGGGTCATTTACTGTCATCTGCCTAGGTAGAAAGAAGTTGGACAAGTTTGGGAGGGGGGGATGCTAACATTTACAAGTCAATAAACATTTATTAATTAAGGGCCTACTATGAGCCAGATGCTATGATAAGCCCTAAAGACACAAAGAAAGGCAACCCAGGCCCCGTACTCAAGGAACTCACAATGTATTGGAAAAATAACGTACAAATGACTATGTACACACAAGCTATAGACAAGATAAACTGAAGATAATAACAAAGGGAAGGCATTAGCATTAAGGGGTATTGGGGAAAGCTTACTGAGAAAAGTGGAATTTAAGTTGGAACTTGTAGGAAACCAGCCAAGCCAAGAGATGGAGGTGAAGAAAGAGAATTTCAGACATAGAGAACAATCAGTGAAAATGCACAAAGCTGGGAGATGTCTTTTGTCTTTTGTGTCTTTTGTGGGACATAGCAAGGAGATCAGTGTCACTGGTAGTGTATGTAGAGGAAAGTAAGGTATAAGATCAATCAAATAATCAATAACTACTTATTAAGCTATGTGCCAGGCACTGTGCAAAACATTGGGGATCCGAAAGAGGCAAAAGAAAGCTGCCACCCTCAAGGAACTCAGAATACAGTGGGCTAGGAAAGAAGCAAACAAATATACACAAACAATCTACATACAGGGAAAAAATAGGAAATAATTAAAAGAGGGAAGGCACTAGATTTAAATGGGGTTAGGAAAGGCTTCCTATAGAAGATGGAATTTTGGTTGGGACTTGAAGGAAGCCAGGAAAGCCAGGAGACAAAGATGAGGAGGGAGAACATTCTAGGCACAGGAACACTGAAGGAAAATGCGTGGAGTGGAGAGATAGAGTGTCTTATATGAGGAACAGCAAAGAATCCAGTGTCACTGGATTGAGGAGTACAGGGAATAAGGTGTAAGAAGGCTGGAAAAGTGGGAAGTGAGTTTCTTAGGTCAATAAGGGCTTTAAAGGCCAAATAAAGTTTTATATTTTATCTTCAAAGTAAGAGGGAGTCACTGGGGTTCATTGAATAAGGGAATAACATGGTCAAATTGACACTTAGGAAAATCAGTTTGGTAGCTGAGTAGAGTATGGGCTAGAGTGGGGGGAATGACTTGCAGCAGGGAAACCAACGAGAAGACTCTTTCAATATCTATGTGAGAAATGATGAGTGTCTGTACTCTGAAGGTGATAGCATTTGAGGAGAGAAGTAGGTGTAAGCAAGAAATGTCTCAAAGGTAGACTCAACGGAACTTGGCAACTGATTTCGTATGGAGAGCGGGAGTGAGAAGTTGAGAATGACACAGGTTGTGAGTCTGGGTGACCAGCACCATAAAGTGCTCTCCAAAGTAGTAGGAATGATGAGAATAGTGGAGGACTTGGGGTCATGTCATGAGTTCAGTTTTGGACTTTGTTCCCTTCATCATCACCATATTACAGGAATGAGTTGTGACAGGGATTGATGGATAATGATCCTGATGCAAGGAAAAAAATATAAGAGAACAAAAATAAAAGATCATCGATAAAACATTCAAAAATTGACCGGAAGAAAGCTCAGAAGGATACACAGGTTGGAAAGTAATGTTATCATCTTTGTTTAGAAATAACACAATTTATTTTAAAAATATTTACCTTTAATTGAAAAAAAAACCGATGTAATCCATCAATCAAAAAGCGTGTTTGATTGACAGGAGAGAAATGTGGATAGCATGGGGGTGGGAGGCCATTAATGGTTTAAAAGGGTATAATAGGCAAAACTTCTACTTTTTGCCTCAGTTTGACCATGGATGAGTATAAACAACATAAGTTAATATTTTTGTAGTACAACTGTGCTTTTAATGGTACAATAAAAGTATATTTTTCTTTGAGGTTTTGGTTGTCATTTTTTTTGCATCAATTTTTTCAATTAAAGGTAAGTATTATTAATATAAATTGTGGCATTTCTAAACAAAGATCTGATTATATCACTACCTAATTGAACACAACTTAAGTGCTCCAAGATTACTTCTAATATAAAATACAATCACCTCTGCCCAGCACTTAAAATCCTGGATCACGTCTAACATGTAAGTCTTTTTTTTTAATTTATGTTTTTGTGGCTGCATAACATTTCCTCTTTTTTTCCTGTGAGCTCTTTCATTTAAACTTTTTTATTTTAAATTTGACAATCATCAACAAACATGGACATTTCAATGCATGAACAACAGAATAAGAAAACTACAAATGACACTCAGAACTTCTATCACATACAGTGATTAATATTAAAAATAACATGATGATAACAACATTACCTTCCAGTCTGGGTATCCTTCTGAGCTTTCTTCTGGTCAATTTTGAATGTTTCATTGATCGTCTTTTATTTTTGTTTTGTTTTGTTTTGTTTTGTGTTAATTTTTTTCCTTGAGTCAGGATCATTATGCATCAATACCTGTCACAACTGCCTCCTCTAAAATGGGGATGATCAAGGGGCTTATTCTGAGAATAGAGCTTAGGTGCCCCTGTTATTATGTCTTTGGGCAGCTAGTGTTTCTGTAGATAATGTGCTGGGCCTAGATGCAGGAAGGTCTGAATTCAAATATGATATCAGACCCTAGCTGTGTGACCCTGGGCAAGTCACAACCTCTGTTTGCCTCAGTTTCCTCAACTATAAAATGGGAATAATAAAATAGCACCTAACTCCCAAGATTGTCATAAGAATCAAATGCAATTATATTTTTAAAGTGTTTAGCACAGTGCCTAGCATATAATAAGCATTGAATAAATTTATAAATTTAATAAATAAATAATCATTTAATAAATGATTGCTCCCTTGTTTCCTTCACAGCCTGTTAATAAGAACACTTTCTTGCTTAATCAGGCAGT